TCTTTACAAAAATAATCTTTATAAAATTTTACACAAGTTTTTGTCTCTAATTATTAACTATTGATATAAAAAATGTAACAAAAAAATGAAAAAAATTAATAATTTTATATAGATAAAAATTATATTTACCCCAAAGTTGCTTCGCCAGAGCCCGATGCCTCTCCTAGACCCGTCCTCCTCTCAGGATTGGATTGTAAGATCCTCTTCTTCCTCCCTCGCAGCTCTCGCGTAGGACACTCGCGAAAAACACTCCCGGGCAATTGCGCGCGGACTAATTATTATAACAAAAGTTTACGGCACTCCCGAAACAAACGCGCGACGCGGTTTGTATTTTCAATTAATCGGCGACGAGTACGTTATCTTCCTTGTTGTTTTGATACACGTGGGGAATATCTGTAAAATATAGTTAAGATATTACTGAATAGGTCAGAAATTAATGAAAAGAGGATGTAACTAGAGTGATTAACGAATTTAAAGGTTTTATTGATGACATTTTATAGGTAAGTTTTTTAAAGTCGGTCCAACTTAATAAAACTCGGTGAGTTTTAATGAATTGGGCCCATCTTGTCAAACCCTGATTTGATTTGTAATTTGGTTATTCATTGATTGTTTTTTATATTTTTTATTTTTTCGTATTTCAACCTTATATTCACGTTGAGATATTCGCTATAGCGATTCGGTTCACTGATTGATTTGTAATTAGGTTATTCATTGATTGGTTTTTATATTTTTATTGTTTTGTATTTTAACCTTATATTCACGTTGAGATATTCACTATCGCGATTCGGATTGCTATTTTATTTGTAATTTGGTTATTCATTGATTGGTTTTTATATTTTTATTGTTTCGTATTTCAATCTTATATTCACGTTGAGATATTTGCTATCGCGATATAATTGCGAACATTTATATTATAAATTAACATTATACCTTTATTGTACCTTTATTATAATATCTTTTGCTGCGCCCTTAATATTAAACGCGGATTTGTATATCGCTTACACAGATTTTCTAGATATTCGTAGATGTAATAACTGTGCCATGAATCAGTGACTCCTCTCAGGATTGGATTGTAAGATCCTCTTCTTCCTCTCTCGCAGCTCTCGCGTAGGACACTCGCGAAAAACACTCCCGGGCAATTGCGCGCGGACTAATTATTATAACAAAAGTTTACGGCACTCCCGAAACAAACGCGCGACGCGGTTTGTATTTTCAATTAATCGGCGACGAGTACGTTATCTTCCTTGTTGTTTTGATACACGTGGGGAATATCTGTAAAATATAGTTAAGATATTACTGAATAGGTCAGAAATTAATGAAAAGAGGATGTAACTAGAGTGATTAGAGATTACTGTGCAAAAAACTATAACGCGGCGGCGGCGTCGGCGCGGCGCAGCGACGCATCACATTATGATTTTCGGCCGAACGAATACTGCGAGATACGCGTTCGAACGAATATCAATGTATGCATGTGATTCTATTACATTGCGTGTTAGAA